TGATATTGCTGGAATATTGCTAAAAGCGGCGTAAAACTAAACTCACTCACCCACTCACTCCTTCCTGAGGTCAGAAAACACACACACACACACACACGCACGCACGCACGCACGCACACGCACACACACACACACACACACACACACACCAAAACAAACCAAACCAAACCAAACCCCCCAAAACAAACAAAACAAACACACACACACTTGAACAAAGTCGAACCTCGTTTATCCATACATGCTTTTTCTCACATTTTGTCCGGATGAAAGAATATATCTGAAACCCGTCAGTTATCTATCTTACCAAATTCTGTGGAAGCTAAAAAAAGACCCTTTATTGTATAATGCTATAGCTGAAAATTTACAACAGCTTAAGATTAGAAACGTAAGAAAAAGAAACGAACAATACTTAAGATGTGGGTTTTGTAGAAGCTTGATTTCAGCTTCTACAAAACACACATCTTAAGTATTTTTTGTTGAATGAAATATAGCCCAAAGAGCAGCAATTTCAATCTGTTTATTTTATCCGATCGAAAATAATTATGCGAGATAAAATTCATTGATATTGTCAAGACTGAAATAACATATATTTTTTCATCTCTGCTCTGAGTTGTGTGTTAATGATAGGTCTAGCAAATCGAACTCGGAGAATGCATTTAAGTGAATATATTACTGGCTGATTACGACCATTGTGTCACGTTCATACTGCTTTAGTGAACACTCACACACCAATGAGCGGGCTCGGTCAAGGTTATATATAAAAGACGAAGCGTAATACAAAGTAAAATTTGAAACGTGACAAAGACTTTATTCGCCTGCTTTTTTCCGCGAACAAATTTCATCTGTCCTTCGTTTTTGAAAGGGACATATACACGAGTTTATATATACCCACGAATATAAAAACACACAATACAAGTCAAAGTGCTTAAAACACATACACTTTTCAAAAAGAAAATGCAGCAGTTCATTTCGATATATTATGGCAGCAATGGTCATTAAGACAATTCCTATGTTTGAATCCCGTTATTCATGTCGTGGTTGTTGTCGTGTTTGTAAACGTTTGTCTTTAAAATGAAAACAATACATGAATCGTGCATGCAGAAAACGTGTTCCACGTAATGCACGTGTAATGTGTCGGAAACATGGGGAGAGACATCGACTATTAAAGGCCAAACCCAAATTCATCATTTCATTACGAAATTTCCGACGTAAACGAACTTAAAAAATGCAACGATTGAACTACTAACCGAAATATCGCCATTGGACGTTTCGAAGCAGGGGAGTTCCAGTCTGCCCTTGCATGACCACCACAGCACCATATGTCGATTATAGCATCGATACACCCGCTTCAGACAATTCGACCCAATATCGTTACAGAAATGGAAGACCAAGAGTGACCACTCCTGCTCAGGACCCATTCATCCGGGTGTTTCTCCTACGTCACCGATTTCCTACAGCAACGGACGCTGCAGGACAGGTGCCTGGTCTTAGAAGAATTTCTGACCAAATCATCAGAAATCGTCTGAGACAAGTGGGAATTCGAACATATCGACCAAAGGTTGGACCTGTCCTGACTACACCGACAACGACGTGTCCAATGGTGCAACGGGGTACAAGCATGGAACCTGGGGAACTGGCGACACGTTTGGTTCAGCGATGAATCGTGTTTCCTCCTGCAACGACGGGATGGGAGACAACGTGTCTATCGACGTCGATACGAACGTTCTGCTCCGAACTGCGTGCAACAGTTGGACAGATTTGATGGCCTAGAAGACCAATTTGGATAAGAATTACACCTAATGCTTTGTAGGTTTGTGTGCGTTTTTAGTGGGCTTAGTCGTGTTTGTAGTGTTACGTGTGTGTTATTGGTCTATTCCAGAATCCTATTTTATAGATACCCGAAGGCCCGGCCCATCCCGACCTTGACCTTGTCAATGCTCGAGCTGGTTCAGTATGTCGTATTATTGGTGTATAAATAAGGGCGATCGATTAATGAGGATGGAGCTGTTCCAGGTAGTGGGTTATTGAACAAGTTAAGTATATACTGACTAAATCGAACGTTTTTTTAGGGCAGTTATTACGATATTATGACAGATTTATGACAAAATTGTTCCTGAAACATCTTCATTGAAATCCATAGGAATTCAGTGCGATCAGTTCAGAAAACACGTCACTTCTGGGTTGTTGATGGGTGATTCGTTTTGTTTTCCTGGATCCACTGTCCGAACTTGTGTTACTTTAAAGGTCACATGCAACCCAAAAATCAAACATAATTAAAACACAATTATCACTTATTCATGACATATAATATACATTGCTGGTTACCAAAAATTATATAAACAAAATTATAAGCGTACAATCGCAAATCGAAAGTGCAAAATTGTGTACTTCGGTTTACTTCCCAAGAAACGAAGCAGCCGGGATACCGAACCCAGTCAGAGCGGGTGGGTGTGCACTCAAGTGTAACGGCTGGTTCATTTGCAGATGCCTTCACGGCTAATTGTGTGTATATATATAGAGAGATGTTGGGTTTTGTAAATACATGCTCATTTTTTGTGTATAACATTTTACAATCAACAGACATCATAACATGTCATGTGTTCAAGTATCACACCTGTCTGTCTGTGTAATTACATAATGTGACAGAGACCGAACTCGGGCCATAAATCAATGCATTTTGTTTATGGTGTATAGCCTGATTGGTGTTAAGTTCAAATTGCATGTGGTCAGTGATAGCAGCTGTGTATTGAATATTGTCATTAGCAGACAGGCAGGCAGACAGACACACAGGTGTCAATAAAACAAGACATTGAGTTTTGTCTGTGACAACGACATATCTATATCAGTCGGAAATTCTGTCAACGCTAAATAATGACATTGCTTTTAAGTATCGAACTGAGAAAGTGTCTCGGTAAGAAGAACGTGTGGTGAAATAGACAAATGAAATTATATAAACAGTTAATTTACTGTCATAACATATAAAAAGCTCGCGCCTGTGAGATATCAACAAAACATTAGAAAAATAGCTCACACCAAAGCCTTCACCGAGTATTCACCCGACAACCCGCTTCCAAGCTGCGCGAACATATTTACTTGCGCACGTGCTATGAGCGCAGCCCAGCTGTTGAAACCCGTTTTCCCCAGAAAAGTCTGGGGAAAATTAGTGAAACGTTTGAACTCCGATTTCGCGTGTTTTTTTTCATCGCGTTATTTTTCAACTTTATAAGTTGAATTTGCATTTTTGACGATTTGTTTCGGTATGTCCATACCGAAAGGTATCAGAATCTGCAAAGTTGTGTTTTACGTTGCATGTGACCTTTAATAAGTCGGTTGGTAATTTTTAAATGTCTGTTGAAAACAATTCAATGTTTATTGTTTCTATTTTGCACATTCAACGTGTGGGTGGGAGATACATGTACTATTGTTTAGATAAAAGCTCAGACAGCAACCTCATATCAACAGGTCTGCCCCATAATACGTGATAAGTACATCTGTTAAGCAATGGAAGCAACAAGTAATTCGTCAAAATTAAAGTTTAAGACTGTTTACTGACTGAAACTCAAACTTACACCATACTTACATGGACTCCACCCCTGTAGCCCCCGTCCCACTAGCCCCTGTTGTTACAAGCTACTAATTAGTACCTCTAGCCCCTCGCTTGGCTGTTCTGTTAGCTGTACTCACTCCCCTGTAACTGGATTAACTGCTACTATTAATTTACTCGTTAGGTCAGGTGTTGGTGCTCGTTAGGTACTCGTTAGGTACCGGTACTTGATATAGATAATAGAGAATCACGGCTTAGTGATCATTATTGATCAGTAGATGATCACTGTTGCTAATAATGGACAAAACAAATATGAAGATTCTATATTTATTTACATTCACAAATATATTAATTCAGATCTTGACACATTGTTTAAATGCAGAGTCAGATCAGTTATTTTTACGCAACATACATATTGTCCATCATATGTCCAGGTATGAGTCAAGATTTCTTTCACATAACATGTGCTCTAGTCCAAGGCGCTTGCAAAAGTTGCAAAAGCTGTACTTGGCTGGATTCACAACCAACACCTAACCGAACGAGCTTAGTAGCAGTTAATTCAGTTACAGGGGAGTGAGTACAGCTAACAGAACAGCCAGGCGAGGGGCTAGAGGTACTAATTAGTGGCTTGTAACAACAGAGGGGTAGGGGGGCGGGGGCTAGAGGAAGGATGCCCTTACATGAACCCATGAACTAATTTTAATGGCACTATTTACAACAATATGTCATTTTTGACATGTTTTAGTCCTTATTTGAAAATCAAAACCCTGATTGGTTTTATTAAAGCCCTTATTTGCTTTCGCAAGTTTTAGAGACAGTGTTATCAAAACAAGCTAGACTATCACTTATACAAGTGGAATATGAAATTGTTTTGGGGTTGTACTACTACTCCTACTACTACTACTACTACTACTACTGCTGCTGCTGCTGCTACTACTACTACTGCTGCTGCTACTACTACTACTGCTGCGGCTGCTACTACTACTACTGCTGCTGCTCCTACTACTACTACTACTCCTCCTACTACTACTACTACTACTACTACTGCTGCTGCTGCTGCTACTACTACTACTACTACTGCTGCTCCTACTACTACTGCTACTGCGGCTACTACTACTACTACTACTACTACTCCTAGCAGTGTTCGTGAATTGTTTCAGTGATAAATCGAGATTTCTCCTACGTGGCCGGGATCACAGAACGAAGGAATGAGCATTTGGCGGCACAAGATTTGGTGACAGTAATGTCACGGTGTGAGTGGTCATCTTATACACTGGAAATATAATTTCTTTCGTTTGAGGTACGAATTAGAATGAAATTTCTTTCTCCTAGCGTCGGAAGATACAACAAAGGGAAGTAATGCTATGAGTATGAGGGCGCTCTGATAGGTATAAAAGGGAGGGAAATTTGAATTAGGCCATTCTCAGCTGCGGTGCACCAGCGGTCATTTTTGATTATGGACAGCCCCGGGGGAGTCAACACTGACAGCGACAAGTTAGACGCCATTTTGAAAAAGTTGGATCAATCACAAGCTGAAATTAGGAAGGAAGTTGATGAGAAGATTGAAGGTCTTCGTGATGAGTTTTATAAAACATCCAAAGAAGTACACACATTGAAAGCTGAGAGGGACTATTAGTGGAAAAAATATGGGAACAAAATTCAGTTTGCTTTCAATTCCGAAGCTCTGGAAAAGTTAGAACAGTTGCGTTTTGCTCTTCAGTATGGTAAAACTGATGACGCCTTGGAATTGATTAGTCAAGAAGTTTCCAGGTTCCAGACAAGAAACAAACACATAAAAATAGCTGATTCCTCAGAGGGGGGCTGGGAAACAGTGCGCAATTATGTGGCTCATGAATTGGCGTCAGATTCTGATGACGACAAAAGAATCAACCGAGCGGAAAGCAAAGCGATTAAGAAAATCAAGACAAGGGCATCTCGTTCCGCACGATTGCATCCTTACAAGTCGATCCAGCGTCCTTCCTCGACAGTCACTCAAGCTTCAACGGATTCTCATGCTGGTGACCAGTCTAATAATTTTCGTGGCCGTGGTCAAAGGTCGGGAGCGTGCTTCATGTGTGGCGACTTCAACCACTGGAGACGTCAGTGTCCCTTGCTTAACAACACAACTCAGCAACGTGGGAAGCTTGACAGAGAGTAGGATACGTTTCAAGCAAACAGAACCTGAAGTTGAGTATACATTACGTGATGATACTGTAAACGTTGTTGCACCTGGCCTTACAAATGACTTTTATGAATATGAACAAGATGGGATAGATATAATTGTAAAGGGTAGACTGAAAAATCATGTTTCGTTTTGGAAAGAAATATGTGCTGTTGATTTTGCTCTAGACATTATTGAAAACGGATACAAAATACCATTTTATTCTACCCCACAAATAGTCTGGTAGGATGGGTACAGCATTCAAGCCCCGTGGGAGTTTTGTGATGAAAGCAAGACATTGTGTTTTTTGTATTCATAAGACATGTTAGTTAAATAAAAAGTTTGGTTCCAAGTTGAAATATGGTGCAAATAGTACTTTTGAGCACTGTACAAAATGGTTGTGGAAAAGGTTGCCAAAAGGTCAGAAGGTCATAATGGGAGAGTTAAATATTTAAAGTCTGAGGTTATTACCTTTATCCAAGTGTGTTTCTCTATTTCATGAAATATTTTATTAAAAGAAAACCCCAAAATATATTTTTTTAAATTAAAAAAATATATATAATGAACACTCCCTCTCTCAAAATGGCAGCTAGCAGACGAATTTAAGCAGATGTAGGTTTTGTGCATTTCATAAGTATATGATTGCTTCATTTCATCAACTCAATGTAAATCAAGTTATTAAAGAACAGTTATGTATGAAACAAAAAAGAGATGTTTATTTTTGTTTGGTGAGACTGTGAGTAAGGGAGCAGTCCTTATTTCAAAATGTAGTATGTCAATATCAGATTATGATTTATCAATTTCTTATTATTACGCTTGAAGTTTTTCTTCTAAAAGCAGAGTTCTTTGAAAATAGATAAGAATATAATGAAATGATGGGGAGAAAACACTATTTTCTGCTTCACACTCTCTCAATTAAATCCCTTGAAATAATTTTCAAGTCATCAGATCGAATAACTTTCTAAAATGGTTATAATCTTTGAAAAAAGAGATATACAAATATATGTGGGGAGAAAAATTTTTATCATCAGGATAGGAAAAGACACGGTGTCCATATTTAGCTTGTTTGACTTTGGGGATAACAAGGTGTTGATTCCCTGATCTGAGAGATCAAGATGGTGCATAAGCCAAAAGACGATCTGAGAGTTAGACTGGAGCCGTGTTAGTCATGCACTGGTATGCGAGACAGAATAGTTTGAAGGAGATTCTTTGTTTCACGGGCAGCCAATGAAGGTCCTTTAGAGTTGGTGTGATGTGCCTTTTTCTGGTGATCTGGGAGGTAATGCGAGCAGCTAAATTCTGTATGCATTGGAGTTGGTCAGTGACACAAGATGGAGATCCAGCCAAAAGGCTGTTACAGTAGTCCATACGAGATGTGACTAGGCTGAAGCAGAGAGTTTTTGAGGCATCTTTGGTAAAAACGGTCTGGCCTTTGATATTGGGGAGATGGGAGTAGCAAGTTTTAGTAACATACTTGACGTGTACTGTCATACTTAGATCTTGATCGATGACAACACCCAGATCGTTGACATTGGAAGAAAGAGGAATGGTTGCTCCACAGACACACACACTAGTAATGTCACACTGCTTGCGTTTTCCAGCCTGTCCCAAAAGAATGGACTCTGTTTTCTCTTAATTTAATTTCAAGGCATTTGATGACATCCATGAATATGTTCTGGCAACAGTCAGATGTCTGACAGAGAGACGCTCTATAGCTTACTCTGTGTTTGGCTGAAATAACTTCCACAGCTGCGTGTCATCTGCGTAGAAGTGGTCAAGATTAAGGTTTGCTACAACAGAGCCAAGTGGAACAGAGTAGAGGGTGAAGACCAAGCACGGATCCTTGAGGGACTCCGCACTCAAGCCTAGATGGGGTTGACACAGACTCACCAACAACAACGGTTTGAGTCCTGTCCTGTAGATAAGATGCCAGCCAGGATAAAGCTGAATCCAAGTTCTGTATCAAGTCTTTTGAGGAGTCTCTGGTGATCAGTCGTGTCAAAGGCACTGCTTAGGCCAAGTAATGTGAGCAGGGCCACTTGTCCTGTGTCAATACCAATCGTAGGTCATTCGGGATCTTCAGCAGGGCCGTCTCTGTGCTGTGGTGTGCTCTGCAGGCTGATAGGAACACCTCATAGAGGTTATGCCAGGAAAGGTGGCCCATGAGACGACTGGAGACTGCACGTTCAATGAGTTTGGATATAAATGCTAAGTTTGAAACAGGCCTGTAGTTTTTTGGATCCTCCTAATCAAGGCTTGATTTCTTCAGATGTGGCCTAACTAGAGCTGACTTGAGTACACTTGGGGCATAACCAGATGAAGTAGAAGAGTTAATAATCAGCACTAATGTTGGTAAATATCAGTGAAACTATCAATATGAGTAAGAGGCGTGCCATCAAACATTTTTGGAGGAATATCAGCTTCATCCACAGCCGCAGAAGACGAAATCTTGTCATGAATGTTCTTGGATCTTTTTGTAGAAATAATCCGAAAATGTCTATGCTATTACTTCATTGTCATCAGATGTCGGAAGTGTCGATTCAAAGTGTTTACTCAAGATACTGAACAAAAGTTTGAACAGCAACTTTGGACTTGACTCGTTGGCTTCAATCTTAGAATTGAGATGTTGATTTTTCTGATGACCGTTGTTGAGTGATTTTTGGCTGAAATATACATTTGGAGATGAATCTCCAGAAAAGATTGTTTTCCATCTGCGTTCTGCTTTCCTCTTGTCTTTTTTCGCTTGTCGAACTTCAGGTGTGAAGTCCCAAGCAGATGTTTTAGTGACTGGTATGACTCTGTCCTTCACTGGTACATGTTTGTCTATATAGCACCTCAGATAGAACTCTATTGTATAGCAGAACGAGACTCTCAGCATCAGATGGTGGCTCAAGTATAAGGTCTGAGTTTAGCAAATTGTCTTTAAAAGTATCCAAATCCAGGAAGCGCATGTTCCTACAGCGAGTAATCTTCACATTTGAACTGGGTATTGAGAGGTCCAAGCTCATAAATATATGGAAATGGTCAGAGAGCTGTAGATCCTGTACAGGTACACAACTGTCAACTTATCCAGTCTGTGCCGAGATGGTGTCGAGCAGTAATTGCTGCCAATGGTGGCCATACAAAGAACTGACTTTGACACCATCTTGTGGACTCAAGAGAACAGAAACACAACAGTAAAGGCTGTGATGTTTGAATTTTCACCTTTTTACCATTGGGATTAAATGAAATAATAGCTCTTAAACTAATGCAAGAAATTCTTCTAAAAATTACTTGTGCGTTTCTTTTTTTGAAGAGTATTTCTGGGTCGCAGTTTCATGTAAAGACCTCTTCTATAGTTGATAAACAGGGTAAAAAGTATATTCCTTTTTCATATTGTACTAGTTCTATACAAAATATATGCCTTGTGAAGAAATGGGGGTTTTATTCATCATTATAACTTTTAGAGCTAAAAATGACTCTTTAATGTAAATTTAAGACTAAAATCAAACTAAACAGATCTGGTGACTTACAGCATATGAGAAATATATTCCGTAACCAAATATGCATGGTATTTGATATTAAAACCATTGTTTTGTTCCGAGTATTTGCAACTTTTTCAGTTCCCGGTTAAATTTTGGTGGCCATCTTGGATTTTGAGCTAAAAATAGCTTTCGCATCAATATTCAGATTGGAACCAAACATTTTTTTAAACTCCTTTGACATATAAACACAAAAGAATATGTGATTTGCTTTCATCAAAAAACTTTCACGGAATCCCATAAGCTCCTTGACTAAAAGAATGAATATAAGGAACAATAGATCTGCTAAGGAGAATTCTGACTTTGTGTCATCAGCTGTTCAAGATTTGTTGCGCAGAGGGTTGATTGCTCATTGTTCAGATAAACCTTACGTGGTTAACCCTTTATCTGTAGCTGTGCAACATTCTGGTAAGAAGCGTCTTATTTTAGACTTGTCTAGAGTGAATAAACATCTGTGGAAAGCCTGATCAGTTAAGTATGAGGACTGGAGAACTGCATTGTTGTACATAGAAAAGAATGATTGGCTAGTAAAATTCGACATCCATTCTGCATATCACCATATTAATATCTACCATGAACATACTCAGTTTCTATTTGCATGGGGTTCAGGAACAGACCTTTAAATTTCTTGTTCTCCTTTTGGTTTGAGTACAGCACCTTATGTGTTTACTAAGGCAGACAGTTGGTAAACTTTTGGCGTAAGGTTACAAGATTGTTACTTTTCTAGATGATGGTATCCTTTCATTTTTTCCGAATGTACAATACTTGTCAAGCAAGACTTGTTAAAAGCAGGCTTTGTTCAAAAGTAAGTCCCTATGGAAGCCAGTTCAAGAGATCGAATGGTTAGGTTTTATCATAGATACAAGACAAATGAAGTTGTCTATTCCTCAACGGAAAATATCAGGAAGTATAGCAGAACTTTGTCTCTACTGTAGCTTCGGTTGTTGGGCAAGTAGTTGCTTGGTATCTCAGCTAATGACAAAGTTTCCTTCAGACACTCCAGGCTACGTGAAAGAAACTGTAATGATATCGTATCTGAGTAGAGATAGTGCTTCACATATTGACACCAGTGTGTACTCTTATGGAGGATTCCTACACGGGTAGTTTACAGTGATGCTAATTCCGGTTTTGGTGGGTACTGTGTAGAAGCATCACATGGTCAGTGGGCATTAGAGTCACGGAGTTCACTTGGAGAGTTGAAGGCTGTGTTGTTGGTTATGAAAGTTTTGTTTCCATTTTGGAATCAAAGTAAAATGGTTTACTTCAAAATGTAGAGTCGATTGTGTCGAAATAGCATGAAAGTCGATCTTCAAGCTTTGGCTCTAGATATATTCAAGCTGTGCAATGAATATAATATCTATGCATGGATGTGAAAATGAGCGTGCTAAGTAAGATAGTCGATGCCGATGATTTTACGTGTGTTTCAACGCGTCTCCCGCCTAATGGGGCCCATTTGATGTTGAAGATTTGCGTCATATTACAATACTAAAGGTTGATGTAACTCAAGATTTTGGAATCCAGGAAGTGACGGAGTGGATGCTTTATCTATGTCCTGGGTGAAGTAACTGGATAGTGCCTCCCTGTGTTTATGATTATGTTCTACCAGGGAGTGTCACAGACTAGTTCCTGTATAGTATTCGCCAATTTCTGGTTGTTTTAAGGATACCTCAAGTTAAAGCCTGGATGATTTAAACTTGTAAGGAGGCATATGTACCAAGCAGACATGAGGAACGATTTACGTGGCTTTTACGTGTGATATTCTGATGATGTTGTTTGCGTGTTGCAGGTGTGTTTGAACATGTATATAGAAGTGAGATACTGACTTTACCTCCACCTATGAGGGAGCTCGTAAGAAGTCTTCCAGAGTATTTGTCTTGCTCGAGAGCAAACTCCACAAATAAGAAGTATGATTATGGTTTTAAAGCATGGAAGAAATGGGCTTTGGCCCAGGATATGTCAACAGATATGCCAGTATCACCTTTGCACTGTTCTTTATATTTGCTAGCAATGTGTGAGCAAAGTGAGACTTTCTCACCTGTTCAGACAGCTTATTATAGCTTGAGACATGCCCATGGTTTAGTTGGTTTAGAAAGCCCCACAGAGAGTACGTTAGTAAAAAACGTACTTGAGGCAGCTAAGAGGAAGTTAGCCAAGCCTGTTTCTAAGAAAGAGCCTATAACAGTTGAGCTGTTGAATAAGATTGTACCAGACAATGCTGAGGAATGCTCATTGTACAAAATGAGAACTGTTGTAATGTGCCTGTTAGCTTATTCAGGTTTCATGAGATCATCGGAGTTATTAGAGATAACTCGGAGTGATGTAGTATTTTGTCAAGCTTACGTGGCTGTGTTTATTCAGAAGTCAAAAACTGATGTCTATAGAGATGGGGCCTGGATTATCATAGGCCGGACAGGTACAAATATGTGCCCTGTAGCATGGTTGGAACGATATTTGAAGCTTACCAAAGTGAAAGATCCTGAATTTATATTCAGAAATATGAGTAAGACTAAAAATGGTTACATTTTGAGAGCTGACAATAAGCCCATGTCCTATTCTCGTTTGAGAGAGCTTTTCATTTAGGTGTTTAGTTCACATGTGAGTGATATATCGAAGTTTGGTCTGCACAGTTTGAGAGCAGGTGGAGCTACTGCAGCCGTAAACAATGGCGTTCCAGATAGAATGTTTAAGCGTCATGGCAGGTGGAAAAGCGAAAATGCAAAAGACGGTTATATGAAAGATGATATTGAGAAGCGTTTGAAAGTGTCTCTTTCGCTTGGATTGTAAATCGTCTCAGTATGTGCACCGCACAGCATGCCATATTATGTAAGTGTTTGTTGTATCTGAATAAGGAGTTGGAGAAATATAATTTCTTTCGTTTGAGGTACGAATTAGAATGAAATTTCTTTCTCCTAGCGTCGGAAGATACAACAAAGGGAAGTAATGCTATGCGTATGAGGGCGCTCTGATAGGTATAAAAGGGAGGGAAATTTGAATTAGGCCATTCTCAGCTGCGGTGCACCAGCGGTCATTTTTGATTTGATGCTATATGATGTGATTTCTATGAGAGCGGATATATACACTGTCTGTATATATGTATGTGTTCTATACTGAATGTTTAATTCTCGTGTAATGTTACAGACCGATGACTGGCACTGTTGGGTGGGACGGACATGTCCAGGCTGGCGAGCCGTTAGAATACGTGAGTCATCGGGGGCATATGCCATGAGCAATGCAAGATGTAAATGGCGGGTTCGTAGCTGCTTCAGCGATGTAAGGAGACGGCGCCTTATAACTTAAGGCTCGATGGATGTAGTTTGTACATATTGTGTAAAATTATTTATATTCTGTTTGAAACGAATAAACTGTGGTGCACCGTGCAGCATGCCATGTTATGTAAGTGTTTGTTGTATCTGAATAAGGAGTTGGGAAGAAAAGCCCTTGCATGTCCCGTACGACGGATCACTGTTAGCTGCAATCATTTAATTCCATTCATGAAGCACATAGCGCCATTTTCCAACATAACGATGCTAGACTACTCTGTGATTACCTGGCACAGATCAACATTTCCTTGTTTCGGTGGCATACATATCACCAGATCTGAACCCAATAGAACACACGTGGGACCAACCTGAGATACGCATACTGGCTCCCGAACAGTTGTCGCCATATTTGAGCGATATTAACACAATTACTCAGCCGTTCGTTAAATTAATGAAATAGAATCAATTATGATACTTAATTAGCTATTCACCGATGTGTCCAGCTGGTTCACTGCCGCCGATCATGTTTTTATTTATCGCGGCGGAAGGGAATCATGGCAGTATAAATAGGAGTTTTCTCACAACTAACTGTAACAGTTATCGCCATTTCAGAATTTCTCAGGTCATTCGTGAAATAATATATATTCATATTATAAAGAAACCTCAAATAATTGATTGTGTGATTAGTTGAGTGTGTTTTTACAGTAGATTGATAGGGAATGAAACAATTAATGACTTTTGTGAACTTGAACTTGCTATTCTCTTCATCGTGTGACATCCCCCAACTAAGTTCAAAATTTGTTATAGGGGTCATAACTTTATCTTCAACTTTTCTCGTATGTTACTTACCGCGAAGAAGTATCTTTTGCTGTCCTTTATTGTTGTCAAATACCAATCAAACATTTAACACATCTGTTACCAGTGAACAACATTAACATCTTTGCTACACAAAACTACATTGTGACCTTGCACCGTGAGAGGCAGTGTCAAGTTGACGGAACCGTGAGGGCCCTGTTTAGAATTGGTCTTCAGTGACCCATGCTTGTAATAAGAGGCGACTAACGGGATCGGGTGGTCGGTCTCGATGACTTGGTTGACACATGTCATCGTATCCCAGCTGCGTAGATCGATGCTCATGCTGTAGATCACCTGATTGTCTGGTCCAGACTTGAATATTTACAGACCGCCGCCATAAAGCTGGAATATTGCTGAATGCGGCGTTAAACAGCAACCAAACCAAACCAAACATGTTGACGGAAGTCGCTGTGTTGGTGGAGATTGTTATTGCAGTGTTGTGGACAATATCCTGTTCTGATTTCTGTATTGAACCGTCCAAGTGTTTATTTGTTGAGTAATTAAGGAAAGCTTTGCTTGCTAATGCTGACTCATTGTGAACTGTGTTTCAGCTTATCGCATCCACCAGCTCGCCAATACATCACTCTGCCAATACATTGATTCCAAACAAAGTACCACTGCTGCCGTAACCGGCGCACCTGCTCTACACTTGTTATTGGATACTAGATAGTGATGGAGCGGTTTGTGCTGGCACATACCAACAACATGTTTGTATGAATGCACAGTGCATTTTAGAAAGAGGTCAAAGCAATCCATGTTATACCTGGGATAGTGTTTTTTCAGTAAAGTACAGATTCTAGTATTTTTAGGGTAAAGTGCCATCCTGGATTCGAACCCATACACTCTGTTTGGTGCCAATTCGGCATCACAAAGTGAGCGATCTAGTTCACTAAACCACCGCTGCTTCCACAAAAATAGAAGGTGTACCGGTGTAAATCACTCGGTGTACTATTCTGACTGGGCGGCGGGGTAGCCTAGTGGTTAAGGCGTCCGCTCGTCACGCCGAAGACCCGGTTCGATTCCCCACAAGGGTACATTGTGTGAAGCCCATTTCTGGTGTCCCCTGCCGTAATATCGCTGGAATATTGCTAAAAGCGGCGTAAAACTAAACTCACTCACACTTACTATTCTGACAAGTGTAAACTGAAATGGCTCCGACCACCGAAAGCTGGCGATTAGGTAGATGTCTGACGAGAGTGTGAGTTCGAATCCCCTTTGGGATCAGCCCCAAAATGTACTAGAATCTGTACTTTACCGAGAAAGTGTAATCCTAAGTATAACATATATAACGCTTTGTGGCTTCACGAAGTACAGTACATTTATATCTCAATATGACTAATTTGCTCTTACAG